CTACGCCAACTGCTAACTTGAATCAAAGACCACTTACCCACTATGGACTGAACCAACGTGATATACAAGGTCCCATGCTAAGACTGCGACAAACATTACTTTGGACAGACAGGAAGGAAACTGGCCACAAGAATACATGAACACTAACTAGCAACAAAAAGACATGACCAGTACTTACTCATCTCCATTCACATGGAAAAGGGGAACCACCAGTTCGATTGGGATAACATTAGGATCCTAGGACAGGCCATATAGAGACAAGCACAGGAATTTCTAGAGGCTCGGTTCTCCACCAAGAAGGCCATCAATAAACATGTAGAATTAGACTCTATATGTACACCACTGCGAAGAAAAACCGGAAATGAGGTAAGCAATTCCAACGGACCCCAGAGTTTAAATACCAAGCGGGACAACATAACAGCACTTCATTGGAAGCTGCACTGATGATGTTACCCAGCAGGATAATGAAATGTCTGTGAACTAACGAACCAGCTCGGTGAGCGAACCAACCACGGCATCCAAAACCCGAGCTACATGGTGTAACGTCCTCCATCTGAGGCTGAACTGAATCTGTTAGAAGGATATTATTCTGTGGATGCCATCAGAGTTAGCTCAATCCTGATTAATGAAAATACGCATGCAGGTTTCCGTTGAACAAGAACAGGATGTGATATTGGTTTCCATGCAGTAGGATGAATCGACACTGTACAGCCTGCATCCAAGTGGAGTCAGTAACTGACCAGCCTTAGATGGAAACTGGCAATGTCTGGTTTAATTTATCTTTCCTTCACGAGGCAATTGCAGAAGCTGTGCCATTGAGTGATTAGGTGTCAGATAATTATGGGATCTGAGAATGTCATAAACTCATATTTAAGCCAGTATTTTATGTCTCCAATTCTTTTTTCAAAGGTATAGATATGACAAAAGAAAACTCCCAAAAGTCAGCTATCATCATGTATTCCATTGTGAACCTCTTCAAATGGGAAATTCAGACAAAAATATCAATTCTGCAGTTGCGCTAGACTGAGGTTCCATTCCTTGGTTCTGAGAGGGGTTTCAATATTCGGATAGCCTGTCGCTTCATACTCTTTATTCTTGTCAGTTCTCCAGAAATTCACTTACTGTTTTCTGGAAGCATTTCCACCTGTCAGTTTTATTTTGCTGTAACTGAAATTTCTAATGCCTTAAAATAATGTTTAAAGCAAAGACATTCAGAAAAATTACATATTTCACAGTAATGTGATTAAATTTTGCATTCAATTACCTTTTAATGCATTCATTTTAACATGAAGAACCTTTACTGTGGGAAAAACATGAAGTCACCTCACAAAAGATATAAGGAAGACAGATACCAGGTAAAGTTTGAGTCTGTTTTTGAAACAGTGTGTGAGAGCCGTGTACTGATCAAACATCTCATCTTGTTTTTGTGTTCTATTAAAGCCAGAGAGAATATTAAGCTAAAGTTGTTTTCCTAATCTTAATAGCTCTCATGTCCATAAAAACTAAAGCAAACAGTAAACACTGAAAAACAAGCTAACTTGTGTTTTACAAGTCTTTAGTAATTTGAATGTTTTCTTATTTAAGGAAACAGTTGAAATGAGGACAGTACTTTTAATTTACATCTGTGAAGTGAGCTGGAATTTGAAGGCTTGTGTCAACCCTCTATTAAGCTCCTGCTTTCCAAATCTAATCCGGATTGTTTACAGCCTTACTGACCTATCTCATAGCTTGCTGAATGTCTGACCCCGTAACTTTTCCGTCATAAAGGTTGCCTACTTCCACAGTCATAGTGTTGCCAATTCATCCACTGTCATTTGCCTCAAGTGGTCATTCCTTACATCCATGTCCTTGTTACCAACATCCTCAACCATTCAAAAACAGAATCATAGAATCCCTACATTGTGGAAACAGGCCATTTGGCCTGACAAATTGACACCGACTCTCCGAAGAGCATTTCACCCAGACTCACACCCCCCACCCCTGTAACCCTGCATTTCCGTTGGCCAATCCACCTAACCTACACATCCCTGAACACTATGGGCAATTTAGCATGGCCAATCCATCTAACCTGCACACCTTTGGATTGTGGGAGGAAACCGGGGCAGCTGGAGGAAACCCATGCAGACATGGAGAACATGTAGACTTCACACAGACAGTTGCCAGAGGTTGGAAATGAACCCAGGACCCTGGCCCTGTGAGGCAGCAGTGCTAACCACTGTGTGACTTTGCCACCTCAAACTGAAGACAAGAAATCGAAGGCTTGCCAGGGATTTGAATGCGGGACCTCTTGCATGTCTATACCGTACAAGGCCCCAACTGAGAATCATACCCCTAAACCAATGAGCCATCATTGGTTTGACAGCATCTGTGGAAAGAAAGCAAAGTTAATGTTTCAGACCCGTTGACCTAGTTCTTCAGAATGATCAGAAGAGGGGTCACTTGACCTGAAAGGGTAACTCTTTTTCTCTCTCTACAGATGCTACCAGATCTGCTGAATTTCTCCAGCAATTTCTGTTTTTGTTTCACATTTTCAGCATCTGCAGTTCTTTGTGTTATTTCAGTCCTCAACATGCTTTCCAGATTACACACCCAGCTTCCACTTTCTATAAACTTGAGACCATCTACACTCAGCTGACTAGATCTTAACATGGAGCAAATCCACCATTCATCAGTCCTCTGCAAGCAGTCTGACAATGTCGCTGAGCCAACCATGTCCTGATTTATAAATACTCTTTCTTGTATTCAAATCACTGCATTCACTTCCTCTCTTTTTAATTTGTTCATTGGATATGGGTAACACTGTTTGTGCACTTATTGCCCATCTCTGCTTGCCTTTGAGAAGGCAGAGGTGAACTGCCTTCTGGAATTGCTGCTGTTGTGGGTCGGAGGTGCATAAGCAAATCTTGAAGGTAACAGTTAGGGAGCTATTAAAAGGGGTGCTTTATCCTGGATGGTGTCAATTTTCTCGAGCATTGTTGGTGGAGCTGCACTCATCCAGGCGACTGGGGAGGTACATTGACTTGTACTTTGTTGATGGTGGTCTGACTTAGCGGAGTCAGCAGGTGAGTTCCTTGCTACGTAATTCTTAGCCTCTGACCTGCTCTTACAGTCATATAAATACAATGGCTATAAGAGCAGGTCAGAGGCTAGTCCTGTTGAATTTCTGGTCAGTAGGGTATTCAGCGAGGGTGATACCATAAAATGTCAAGGGGTTATAGTTAGATTGTCTGTTATTGGAGATGGTCATTACCATGAATATTAGTTGCAACTTGTCAGCCCAAGTCTGGTTATTGTCCAGGTTTTGCTGTATTTGAGCATGGACTGCTTCAGTATCTGAAGAGTCATGCGTGGTGCTGAACATTGTACAATCAATGGTGAACATCCCCACTTCTAACCTTATGATGGAGGGAAGATTATTAATGAAGCAGTTGAAGATGATTGGGCCTAGGACATTACCCTGAGGAACTCCTGCGGTGATATCCTCGAGCTGAGATGACTGATCTCCAACAACCACGACCATCTTCTGATGTGTCAGATGTGACTCCAACCAGCAGAGAGTTTGTCCCCCGATAGCAATTGATTCCAGTTTTGCTAGGGGCTCCTTGATGCCACACTTGGTCGAATGCTGCATTAATATCAAAGGCTGTCACCCTCACCTCACCTCTGGAATTCAGCCTTTTTGTCCATGTTTGAACCAAGGCTCTAATGAGGTCAGGAGTTGAGTGGTCCTGGCAGAACCAGACTGAGTGCTATTGAGCAGATTTTTCCTTTGCAGATGCAGCTTGATGCCATTGTTGACGACTCTTTCCATCATTTTGCTGATAATTGAGAATTGACTGAAAGAACCGGAATAGACAAGGTTAGATTTGACACACTTGGGAAATTATTTATATTGTCAGGTAGATGTCAGTGTTGTAACCGTACTGGAACAGCTTTGTTACAGGCATAGAAAGTTCTGGAACATAAGTCTTCAGTACTAACGCCGAATGTTGACAGGGCCCAGTCATCTAGTGCCTCCAACTGTTTCGTAATATCATGCGGGATGAATCAAATTGACTGAAGACTGAAAACTGATAACTGTGATGCTAGGGACCACTGGAGGAGCCCGAGATGGATCATCCACTCAGCGGTTCTGGCTGAAGGTTGTTCTGGTTGAGCCATAGAGACCTACAGTACCCGAAAAGGCGCTTTAGCCAGTCTTGTCCATGCAGGTCAAAAACAACAACCTAACAACTCTAATCCCATTTTCCAGCACTTGGCCCATAGTGGGTAAATGTTTCTTCCTGTCTACCCTGTTTATGCCTTCATAATTTTATACTTTTCAGTCATGTCCCCTCTCAATCCCCTCTGCTCTAAGGATCACAACCCCAGTCTGTCCAATCTCTCTTCATAACTAAAAGTCCATCCCAGGCAACATCCTGAAACATCTCCTCTGCATCCTCTCCAGTGCTTTCTCATCCCTTCTTTGAAGTTGATAAGCGAGATATACAGAGCTAAGCTATTCCATAACCAATGGATCATATCTAAGCTCTGCAGCCCTGCCATTTCCAGTCATGAAGACTTAAACAATTAACAGGAGGAGGAGGTTCCACAAATATCCCCATCCTCAGTGATGGGGGAGCCCAGCATATCAGTGCAAAAGATAAGTTTTCACTCAGCCATTACTATCTGTACCGTCAGACCCCTTGACATTAAGCTCTGAAATACCCTGTTTTAATACATTCTTTAAATCATGCCTCCGACTGAGCTTTCAACTATTTCATATTGTTTGATAGTCCAGTATCCGGATTTATTAGTGATGCTTGTTTTGATGGTAGTTTAGATACGTAGTTGTAAATTAAGAATAAGAATATTCCCATGGGGTTAGGTTGATTGCTTCCATATAGAATTAACACTGCACAGACTGGGAGGGCTCAATGACCAGTTTCTGTGCTGTAATTTCAACATAATTCACTGTAGAACATTGATCCTGAGGATTCATGTGTATTATTTCTTGACAGGTCCTCCAAGCCCCAGCTTGCCATGAGAACCTTGTGAAAGTGGGTGGATATATCTTGGGAGAGTTTGGAAACCTAATTGCTGGTGATCCAAGATCCAGGTTAGTTGGATTTGCTGCACTTGCTCTCCTTTGGAAAGTCACTTCTGCCTTCACCTGTATGCATATGCCCAGCTTCACTGTAGAGCATTGTATGGGGACTCCCACAATCATTCGGTCTCCAGCTAGCAAGGCCTGCAATGGGGGCAGTGGGCCATGCACCCCTCCGAATACCTCCTTATCGGCCATGATCTGCTGCTCCTGTCTCTGTATTTTTCAGCTTTTACACTGGTCGCTGGTTGTGGGCTTTATCCAGTCATTAAGATATAGCTACACTTGCTGCTTCACAGGTTAAAATTGTATTTGAAGGTCTCAGTATTGAGGCACAGTGGAGGGTACAGAGAGTAAAACATGATTCTGTGAGCTGGGACTGTATTGGTAGATGTATTCAGTAGTGGATCCAGCTCAAGTTAGCTAAGTTGGTCTAAACTGGAGATTGAATTTGACAGCTTTTTGGTGCAAGCAGGCCAAAGAACTTCAGATGCTGGAAACCAGAAACAAAACAGAAACTGCTGGAAAACTCAGGAGGTCTGGCAACATCTGTGGAGAGAAAGCAGTTAACTTTCTGGGCCCAGTGACTCCCTACCTTTATCAAGAGGGAAAAGGTATGCCCAGTCTTTTGTTACAGCAGTATGTTTGAGATTGTGTGATAGGTTTGTACCTGCTATATTAAACCATTGTATGAGCTGTTTTTCATTAATTTTATCAGAAAGGGTTTCCATAGCCTGGCTTTCTTTTATTTCAAACTTGACTCAGTTAATAGCATTTTAACTGTGTAGATTCACTCCCACTTCAGAGAATTACCGGGAGATTTACCAGGATGCTAGCGGGAGAGCTGAGCTATTGGGTCTGAGATATGAGAAAAGATTGGATAGACTGGGCTTGTTTTCCTTGGAGCAGTGAAGGTTGAGAGGGGTCCTGATAGAGGCATATGAGATGATGAGGGGCATAGATAGGGTGGATAGAAAGAAACTTTTTCCACTCGTAACAGGATTATAACTAGGGGCACAAATTTAAAGTAAGAGGTAGAAGGCTAGGAGGGGAGTTGAGGAGACAGTTTTTCACCCAAAGGATGGTGGAAGTCTGGAACTCACTGCCTGAAAGGTGACGGGGTGGGTGTTGGGTTGAGTGTGAAACTCTTGTAACATTTAGACAGTACTAAGATTGTTATTTGTGTTGCCACAGCTTCATGGACTATGGCCAAGAGCTGGAAAAAGGGATTCGTGTAGTCAGATCTTTGTTAATCAGCACAGTCACAATGGGCTAAACGGTCGTCTTCTGTACTGTAAACATCTATAAGGCTGTGAGAATTCAGCAAGTTATCTAAGGTGACATTTCAGTGTCGTGTTAACAGAAAGCTGCACTATTATAGCTGCTGTCTTTCAGATGACATTAATGTGGTAACCTGTCTGCCCTGTTAAATGGATGTAAGCATCCTACAGCATCATTCAAAAACGTGCTATTCTCCAGAATGACCTGACCAAGATTTATCCCCCTGAACTGATAACTGAAACCCATAAAAGTAAAAAACTGTGGATGCTGGAAATCTGAAGTAAGAACAGGGAATGCTGAAGGCTCCTCAGCAGGTCTGGACAGCATCCAAAGAGAAAGAAACAGAGTGAACATTTTGAGTCTGGTATGTCTGTTCTTCAGAACATTTTCTGTTCTTATAACCAAAACTGTCTGGTCCCTCAATTGATTGGTGTTTGGTGGAATTTAATACATTCTAGTTGTTTGCCACGTGACAATAATGATGATGTTATTTCAAAAATATTTCGTTGGCTATGAAGCACTTTGGAGCATTTTGAGGTTGTGAAAGTTCTTCTCTTTTGATTTTCAGCCCTTTAATACAATTCAGTCTGCTGCATTCGAAGTTTCACCTGTGCAGTGTACCCACAAGAGCTCTCTTACTTTCCACTTATATCAAGTTTGTGAACCTGTTTCCTGAGATTAAGTCGACCATTCAAAGTGTGCTCCGCAGTGACAGTCAGTTGAGGAATTCAGATGTAGAGCTGCAGCAAAGGGCAGTGGAGTATCTCAGGCTCAGTTGTATAGCGAGCACTGATATCCTGGTAGGTAGAGGACTCTCCAAGATGTATGCTTCTCAATGTCTCCACGTTGGCACCACTCTGTCCTTTTCTTGCCTGTGCTTTTATTCTTCTGCTGCCATCGCAACAATTATGTATTCAGATCTTTAATTAAATGCATATTTTTTGTGTGAATTGTAGTCACCATCTACTCTAGTTTACGGAATGTTAATATTGTTGGTCACACCTTAACTACTCATCTGTGTGTATTGGCATTAGCTTTTCCTGTGCCTAGCTTCTCTCAGTATAGTTTTGCTGACCCTGTCCCCTCAGTTTCTCCTGCTGGCCAGTGCCAGCTCCTGCTGTACCTTGCACTTGGTCTTGCCTTGACTCTCTTTTTGACTGTCTAATGAATTTCTTAAATACATTCCAGATAGTTGTCTGGAGCGATATGTTCTCGTTCCGACAACAGAGCAGACTTAGATGTGATGGTGAGTAATACATTAGACTGAGTTAATCTAGTCAAGGGAGCATTTATCTGACGTTGATTATAATATGATTGAAATTTTATTTCAGCATTTTGCTTGAAAAGATGCAACTTGGCACAATTTTTGATTGTAGATTTTGTCAGAATAACAAACTGGATGAGTCAGAGACTGATAGCAACAAACTGGTGAAATGGAGAATAATTACAATGGGACAAGACCAAAAAAGAGTTTATTTAATATTCCTTGAGGGGGAACGATCTGCTTAGTAAGTAAAACAACCATGTTTAACCTAAGAGGTAGCTTAAAACTAAAGCAAAGAGCAACAAGAATATTGCAAATTAATAGTCATGGTGTAGATATAAAGAAAGTCAAAGGAAGTCCGAAAGGACAGTAAGTGTGCTGGGACCTCAACTGTTCCATCTCTCATTAATGATTTAGATAGAGAGTCATATCTCTAATATTGCTGATAGCACCAAGACTAGTGTAATTTAGGAAGTAGTATAGAATATCAGTATTGATAGAGCAAGATATGTGCAGAACTGTGGCAGGCAATTCAAGGACCCATAAAGATTTGATGGGAATATTATTCAAATTCTGAAGAGCTGGAAACAATGGGAACTCAAACAGATCATGTAACAGCGCAAACATTTCATAGGTAAAAAAATTAAAATAACTAACTATCACTGGATAAAAAGCACCGAAGGAAATTAATGGGGTTAAACATGAGTAAGTCCCCTTGACCGAACGGGACACACTCTCGGATATTAAAGAAAGTAGCTACAGGGATCGTGGTTGCAGTGGTGGTAATCTTCCAGGAATCCTTAGATTCTGGAAAAGTCCCAGAGAATGGGAAAACTGCCAATGCAACACCTTCATTTAAAAAAGGGAAGGAGCCAAAAAAAACTAACCAAAGGCCAGTTTGCTTAACGTCTGTTATTGGGAAAATGTTACAGTCTATTTTAAAGGATGTAGTAGCAGAGCATTTAGAAACACACCATGTGAATTAGCAGAAATGTAATAGCAGAGTCAGCATGGCTTCATGATAGGGAAATCATGCCAGACAAATTTACTAGAACTCTTTGAGGAAGTTACAAGGAGGATAGGTAAATGCAAAGCAATGCATGTTATGGATTTGGATTTTCAGAAGGAATTTGGGAAGGTACCACATATTAGGCAACTTAATAACAGAACAGCCAGTGGTGTTGGAGTGGCATAGATAGAGGATGGGCTAACAAGTAGAAGACAGAGAATTGAGATAAGGGGGGTGCATTCTCAGGATGGCAACCTATAACTAGTGGCTTGCCGCAGGGATCAATGCTGGGGCCAGAATGATTTAAAATATGTGACAGATTAGGGAAGTGAATGGACTATTGCCAAGTTTATGGATGACACAAAAACAGGTG